TACTGCTCTGTGACAGTACAATACTAATACTACAGTGTAATACTGCTCTGTGATAGTATAAGTACTAATACTACACTGTAATACTGCTCTGTGACAGTACAATACTAATACTACAGTGTAATACTGCTCTGTGATAGTATAAGTACTAATACCACACTGTAAAATACTATGCTACAGTTAAAGGACTATTACCAAAGTGTACAAATACTCTGTTTCAGCAAAAGTACAAATACTATAGTTTACAAGTACTCTGTTACTATAAACGCTCTAATACAACGTATTGTATTGAGTGTGTGTGTGTGTGTGTGTGTGTGTTTTAGGTTTCCACATGACAGCTCCTACGATGACCTTTGACCTGAGGAAGGTTGACTTAACGTCTCTTGAACAACGTAAACTAACGTTTGATTCTCACTCGATGGTGACGGAGCTGCAGAGCAGCGGTGACAAAACAATTAAAACAATTAACACAATTAAATATATTTTATATCAAAACGACTTCCCGGTTTCATCCAGCGGGTTTTTTCTTTCCCCCGTCTTGACTTGCAGGTTTTGAGAAGCCTCAGGCGGAGCTCATCGTTTCAGCTCTGGTTACCTTGACGACCGCGAACATGGACATCGTTTACAAAGACATGGTGACCAAATCCCACCAGGTAGAAAAGTACAGAAAACACACCTTTGCTGCAGTAAAGAGGACATCCATGTGGTATTGATTGATCGGTATTGTGTTGATTGTTCTTGGAGGAAATCGCTCTGCAGCAGATCATGGCTCACCTGGACTCCATCAGGAAGGACATGGTGATCCTGGAGAAGAGCGACTTCGCCAACCTCCGATCTGAGAACACGGTACGACCACTATATTTATTTGTATTTATTTATATCTATATTTATTTATTTATATTTATTCATGAATTAATATTTATTTATGTTTATTTATATTTATTTATATTTATTCATGAATTTATATTTATTTATATTTATTTATATCTATATTTATTTATTTATATTTATTTATATTTATTCATGAATTTATATTTATTTATGTTTATTTATATTTATTTATATTTATTCATGAATTTATATTTATTTATTCAATGTGTTCGGTTACAGGATCAATACTTCACCGATTAAACTGTTTTTATGATGTTTTGACGCTTCCCATCAGATCAAGAATTAAACACTCTTCTGTTATTTTCTTGTAGAAGATGAAACGAGAGTTGGAGCAGATTCAAAACAGACTGAAGGTCGGAATGTGTTTTTATATTTAAAGTAACGATTTTATTACAAAATGTTTGTTCACATTCATTTGATCTGATGTGTTTGATGTTTGTGTTCAGGAGGAGAGTCTGAAAGTCAGAGCTGAAACCAAACTGGACATCAGCCTGCAGAGCAGCAGGATCTCTGACGTGGTGAGAGCGAGAGAACGAGAGGAAGAGAACGAGAGGGGGAGAACGAGAGCGAGAGAACGAGAGGAAGAGAACGAGAGCGAGAGAACGAGAGGAAGACAACGAGAGCGAGAGAACGAGAGGAAGAAAACGAGAGGGGGAGAACGAGAGCGAGAGAACGAGAGGAAGAGAACGAGAGGAAGAGAACGAGAGGGGGAGAACGAGAGCGAGAGAACGAGAAGAAGAGAACGAGAGCGAGAGAACGAGAGGAAGAGAACGAGAGGAAGAGAACAGGAAGTCGGTGATCAAAGATCGATTATTTAAATGGTTCAAAGAATCCGTCTCACTCACCGACTGTTGGTTTTAAAGCTCTTCAGCACAAACATCAGCCAGTGAACGCACCGCAGCTCAAATATATCAAATAAAAAATGTATTTATAGATTCGGTGTGATATACACTTTCCGTCCTGATATCTGATGTTTATTATCAATAAAAGTCCACAAACCTGCTGAGAAATCATAGAAAAAGACACGTTGCTCATAACTGAGAATGATCACGTTTGAAGTTTTCTCAAAGTCATCCTGAGATCGTTTTCTGTAAATCAACGATCACGCCGTCAACGGGAGCTGATCCTGTTTTTAATTTGACAAAATGGAAACAAATATCGTCTGAAAGATTGTTTTTGTTTTGTGTGTTTTTCTGTCAAGTTCAGTGAACAGGAGAAGAAGCTGATGGAGACCAGTTCAGAGTTCCATCACAAGGTATAGTACTACAATAATACTACTGTAATATTCTACGACAGGAAACTACACACACGTGTGCGATGTGATCGCTCGGTGTGTCTCATGTGGTCAGAAAGCCGACCTGGAGAACGACAACATGGAGATCAACAGGAAGATCGACCTGCAGGTGGCGTCGCTCAAGACCGTCCTGGAGTCTCTGAAGCTGGAGACGATCCGCTACCTGGCAGGTACACGAAGAAGTACTCTACCGTAGTGAATCAGTACACGAAGAAGTACTCTACTGTAGTGAATCAGTACACGAAGAAGTACTCCACCGTAGTGAATCAGTACACGAAGAAGTACTCTACCGTAGTGAATCATGATTTAATAAAAAATCAGGAAAACAACTACATTTACAAGTAAAAAGTACAATATGTACCTCTGAGATGTAGTACAGTAAGTACCCTCCAGTACTCTAGTAAACATACTAGCAGTAGTACTAGTAATACTGTGTTTCCTCCTCAGCGACCATGTTTTCCTGCTTCGCCATCGCTCTGGGAGTTTACCGGCTGTGGAGGTGAAACACAGCCGGGACTCGTTTAACTCGTCTTCCTCCGCCACACAAAGTAGTTCCGGTGGACTCAGCTGCTGCTATGAAATGTCACAGTTTAAAGTTTAAAGTCAGATGTTACTTTAGTACAGAAGTACTCTCAGTTAAAGGAAAGTACGCAGAAGAGTGTACTGGTACTATAAAGTACCAAAGCACATTTACTCAAGTAGAGTATATAAGAACAGTGTTGAGGTACTTCTACTTAGTATCTTCATTTAATGCTACTAGATATTCTACATCACTACATTTCATTTACTTAAGTAAATGTACAACAATTTAAAAATACTCCATCACAAGTAAACGTCCTGTATTCAAAATACTACTTCAGTATATAAGTACTGAAGTATTATCAGCTTCCAATACTTTGAATGATTTTAAATGCAGTACTTTTGCTCGTACAGAGTACTTTTTAATTGTCGTATTACTACCGGATCAGAGTACTAAACGCTGAAATACTTCCCTCTGAAATAAAGTGGACTAGAAATATAAGTACAAGTACCTCAAAGATGTATTTAAAACTATGTGCATGAAGTAGTGAAGATATTTTAGGTGAAAACATATTTAACAGAACAATCAGAATATTTAATAAACCTGTTTATTATAATAAATATAATATAATACATATATTAAAACTCTTATTTGATAATATTGTGTTGAATTTGAAGGTTTGATTGTTTCAAATGTAAAAACATTCAATGTGTTGTACTGAAAACAAATACAAGATTTTAAATAAAAAGAAATAAACTACACGTTTCTATAATTATGTGACGAAAGCAGAGAAATTAAGGATTCACTGCTGAGAGGAAGACATGTTGTATTTTGTCAGAAATACAACAGAAGAAGAAGAACCACTCACATTTACATTATAAAACATTTTCTGATATAATTTATTTTTTAAAAAGCAGACAGGAAACATCGTCTTCATCAAGTTAGTCAGTCTCTTCGTTTCCTGTGAGTCGAGGGCGGGAAAGACGGACTCCGCCACTAACGATGCATTTAATGACCGCAGAAAAAAAAACAAGAAAAAAAGTAGAAGAGACGTATATTTAAATCCACGGAGCATCTTTTACTTAAAATACTAACATATTTTGTAAATATTACTAAAAATGTTCCGGTCATTTTATTAACATTTTCAGGGAAAAATTGAGAGAATTTTAAACTTCCGTAGAAACTAAACAGACTTACGGATTGTCACGACGTTACGAAGCGTAGAGACTAAATTAGTCAAATAACTTAATGCTTCATTCACACGTCAGTGAAGGAAAGTAGTACAACAGATCCACCAGGATGCACGCCTGCTCCTCCAAGGGTACATCTCAAGTCTCTTAACTGCATCCCCGTTTCCCTCACTTGGGTCCTTTCCTTGCATCCTAGTCCCTCCCACCAGGGATACATGGAGGAAACGACTCACGTAAAATAAAAACACCAGAAGAACATTTAATTCACTAAACCTTTATTTTTGTTTTGAAACCTAAATGACAATTTAACTGTTCGCATCAAAGATCAATCACCGTTCACACAAGAAGTTTCAGACTCTTTTATTGAAGACCAAAGAAAAACAAAAACAAAAAGACTTCGATCCTCCGAAGAACGATTCCTGAAGAGGAGGCGGAGCCTCCTGTCGTCCAATCAGAAGACGCTTACCTTTAAACGCAGCTACCCGCCATTTAACCCGATCGATCAATATTTACAGACAGGCGATTCAAATCACTGTTACACCAGAGATACCAAAAAATACTTTAATTTATAAATTAAATCATTTACATCTTTGATCTCACAGAAAAGAAAAAAAGGAAACAAAACATTTCTTCTTCTTTTTCAATAAACAGTTTCAATTCACAGAGAAACAGGAAGAGACCACAAATGGTCGCGCAGAATCCAAATACAAAAATGTATTGAAGTTTATGTCGTTGAGGAGGAACGATAAAAACACCGAACACGGTTACGCTTTACTCTGATCGTCTGTTAAAACCTCTTTCTTCACAGCAGGGAGCTCGCTCGCCTCAGACTCTACTTCCTGTTTGACTGAGGTGGCAGCAGCAGCAGCCACAGCACAGGAAGTGATCTCCTCCTCCTCTTCTTCTTCTCTCTTAATGAAGGCGCTCAGCGGGTGGTCGGTCAGCACCTTGCTGGGCGACGGCGTGACGTCGAGATATGACGACGTCTGAGGAGACAAAACAAACAGCAGCTGTTCAAAGATAATAATTCTAACTTAAACCGTCAGACGTTTGATGTGATTTATGTCTCAGTTACTTACATTTTTATAATCTTCAAAACAGGCGGGGTGGAAGTTCTGTGGATAGAAAACATTCATGGGTTTATTGATGGTCAGCTGTTCAGCGTTACATTTTACAGAAATTAATTGGGAACGTTTGCGACAATACTGAACAATTTTCACTTAAATTACAAATATTTTTGTACATATTACTAATAATGTTGGGACACCGTACCAGCTGATCTTAGTGATATCTTTGGACATTTTACAACTTCTTTGGGGGGAAATTGGGAGAGTATTTAACGAGATGGGAACATTTTTTAATTATATTTATTATATTCTTTGTAAATATTAAACATTTTACAAATATTTTTCAGGGAAAACTTGGGCCAATAGGACTAGAATTGATGGGATTGTTTGCACTTAGATGACTAAATAGTTTGTACATATTACTGATATTTATTAATATAGTTCCAGGTGTCGGTACCTTGTCGTCCACCCTGAGGGCGTCCTTCAGGAACCAGTCCTCCTCCTCCTCCACCCAGTACGTCTCAAACGGCTCCTGACAGATTTCACACAACTGCACGAGGAAAACAAACATCAAGTTATTTATTCAGCGCTCACATTTTCATTGTTGTAAATCATCGTTTCTTCGTTGCACTCGTACTCCTCAGCTTTAGTTACTTCATAAGACCAGACGATCAGTTACAGATGTATTCTAACAACTGATGCATCGAGTGGCTCCCGTCTCACCTCTCCCACTTGGTCCTTGGTGGCCTTCACGCTCTGGAACTCCTTCTCCTTGGCGGCCTGCTGGCTCTTCTGGACCTCCTCCTCGTTCTCCTTCTCAAAGAAGTGACTCTTGGCTCGCTCCTCCAGGTCGGCGATCTCCTCGAACTCGACCCAGTCCTGATGGAGGGAACGCACACGCACACGAGGGTGAGTTTAAAGGCGAGGACTGAAGGCTGCCTGCCGTTAGTCTGAGAGGTCGGTGTTTCTCACCCGGAGGCCGTAGTACCAGCGGCGGTGCGTGATCTTCTTGCTGGCCACTTTGCCGGCGTGGTTCTGCCTGAAGTGCCAGTCCAGGTGGTCTGCGTACAGGTCGGTCTGAGCCGTGGTGAACCTCATGCTGCACAGGCAGCACTGGTTCCCCGAGTACAGCTTGGTCACCACGCTCTCCAAGCGCCTGCGAGAAGAGGGGGGCACGAAATAACACGGGAACAAAGTGAGTCACAACACCAACGATCAAAACACAACCAGGGCTTTTATCAGCCGTAGAGTAAAGTTTTTACTTTGTTCTTGTCCTCTATAGTGTTCATTTGCATAAAACACATACTTCACTGTTTAAAATGATTATTATACTAAATCATATCAATGATCAGAACAGTTTCGCTGATTATTGAACTCACTGTTTCAAGTCGTCGACGTTGAAGCTGGTGAGGTCGGGGATGTTGTCTTCCTCCTCTTCCTCCACCTCCTCTTCCTCCTCCTCCACCACCACCCGGGGCGGAGCTACCACAGGCGTGGTGGTGGGTTCTGGGGGTTAAAAACAAAAAAAAAAAAGAATGAACAATGTATATTTTAATAACAGCAGCTGTATTATTAAACCCTGGTGCTGTTTCATGAGGCGGCAAAACGTTTCAACGCAACAGAAAAATGTCTCTCACCGGCGCTGGCGGTCGGTGCGGCGTCGGGCTGCGAGGGCTTGATGATGCCGTTGGAGATGAGTTTGGACAGCAGGTCGTTGACGTCAACCTGACCGAAGTGGTTCTCTGGGGGGGCGACCTGTGGAGCTGCAGGGACGCAAACAAACCCGTCAGAAACATTTCACTTCTTCATTAATGAGAGAAACACTGAATGTCAGAACGTACTCTGCTGTCCGAAAGGCACTGGGTTCTGAGGCAGGAAGGACTGGTTGAGGTTCCCCAACATGTTCACCTAAAAACAACCACAGAACAGGTTCATACACGACATACAGACTCATCTAAAAACCACCAGGAGAAGAAAACCACACGATGCTACTTCAGTCTCATGTGGACTCTGGATGTAAAACATTTAAAACATGTTTATAGAAAACTTGACTCACCGGCTGCTGTATGCCGACGGCAGCGGGGGCGGCGGGGTTGTAGAAGGAGGCGGGGCCTGGCTGATTGAAGGGCGGAGCCTGCTGCATGTTGAAGTTTCCCGCCTGCTGAGCCGGGAACGCCATCGGCCCAGCGGGGAACTGAGGGTTCATGGGCTCCGGGAACCGCTGGGGGTTCATGCTGAAGTTCTGCTGGGGGGGGATGGGGTTGTCGTAGATGGGCCTCATGGGGGGGGGCTGCAGGTTGTGTTGGGGAGCGAACCTCAGGGGCCCCTGCTGGCCAGGGGAGCACTCGTAGAGCGGGGGTCCGCCCTGATGGGGGGCCACGTTGGGTAAGTCAAACCGGGGTCCCGGCTGACCGGGGGCCTCGAACCTCATCGGCCCCATCTGGTTTGGAGCGCCGTCGAAACGCCGCTGCTGCTGCTGCTGCTGGAAGCCCATCGGTCCGGGAGCCATGTTGTTCTCGAAGCACCGCGGTGCGTCAAAACACTGCATAGGGCCCTCGAAGTGACCCGGTCCGGGCCCCTGCTGACCAATAGGACCGTCAAACCTCCCGGGGCCCTGAGGGCGAGGTGGACCGTCGTACCGCCCCAAACCGTGAGACATGTGGGGTCCGTCGAACCTCTCCGGCATGTTGTGGTGAGGCGGGCCTTCGAACCTGCCGGGACCCTGGTGGTGAGGCCCCTCGAACCGGGATGAGTCATCGTAGCGACCGGGGCCCTCATACCACCCTGGAGGGTGCGGTCTGGCGGGACCCATGTGTCCCGGTCCGTCGTACCGTGGCGTGGGGTGTCCTCCGTCGTGAGGAGGCGTGTGTCCTGGGGAGTCGCTGTGCTGCCGGACCGAAGACAGCGGTCCCACGCGGGGCGGGGCCTTCAGGATGGATTTGGGGGGAGGAGTGGGGACGTCCAGATTGAGGGGCCCGTCGTCAGAGTGCTCACTGTTGGGGCTCTCGAAGCGAGGGATCGGGCTCATCTCTGACGGGTCTTTTTGGTGAAGCGGCGAAAGGAGCTCGCGCTCGAACCTCGGGGTCGCCAGCACCGCCTCGGGGCCGACCGGGCTCGGACAGTTCCTGAGGACCACGGTGCCCGAGGGCGGGGGCCCCTCTGGCCTCCGTGGATCGGGGAGCCTGGAGTCGGCGGGCGGGCCGTAACCCCGCGGAGCGTCGTAGCCGCTCTTCTGCTCCTCGCGCTCGTCGAAGCGCGGCCGCTCCGTCAGCGGAGAGTTCCACTCTCTCTCACCTGGAAACAGATAAGAACTCTCGTTTACTGACAGTCAGTGAAGCTCTCGTCATCTTTTAGGTGTTTTACTTAAACTGTCCTGAACTCGGCCTCTCTCTATGTGCTGACTCCCATGATCTCCTGAATGAACTAAACACCTAGATGTGTAAACTGTGATCTCTTTAGAAGAGTCTCTAACCCCGCTGAAGTGATCGAGACCCTGACACCACGCTGCTCCAGAACCTGACCTCTGACCTCTCTGTGGATAAAGACGACAGGTGACAGATAATATTTTTCACAGATCACTTTGAGACAGATCAAAGACTGGTGGTGGTGGATGTGTTGGCGGTGGACTCACTGGGCTCTCTGGGCTCGGCTCTCCTCCTGAAGCGAAGGCCCGGTAGAGACTTCAGAGTCGGGAACTCTTTCCCGTGGTTGTACTCCTCGATCAGCCGCGGCTCCTCCTGCTCTTTGCTCCTCCTCTCACCTGAAAGAGTCATAAAGAATGAATATTCTGAATCCCTTTAGTATCATGAAGAGTATCCATAAACCCTCAGCTCACCTTGCCGTTCCCGTGGCGCCCGGCTGTATTTCAGGTGACCGGCGCTTCGTCCGCTCACGCCGGTCTTTGCTCCAGACCCCGCCTCCTCCTCGTCCTCCGGACTCTCCTCGCCCTCCCACTCCTCCCCGGCAGCTCGGTGGGTGACCTGCGTCTTCCTCAGCTTGGACTTGTGCTCGTAGTAAGACAACTCCGCGGCGTCCATGTTGTCTCGGGGCCGCGGCGGCACGGAGGCGGAGGGAGGCGAGCTCAGCAGCTTCTTGGCGGGGAAGTCGCCTGCGACGACGGCGTCGACGTCCCAGCCGTCGGAGCGCTGCTGCTTCTCCTCCTGGTACTGGAAGAAGTGTTTGATCTGGTGGGCCATGTTCAGGAAGTCCTCCTGGGAGATCTCACCGCTCTCCAGACGCTTACTGGCCTGCAGAGAGAAACCGCCGACCGTTAGAGGAACGGTGGAGTCTGTCTATTTAGTTTTTCCTCCGAACATGTTTGGGAATTTTCCCTCATAAAGACATGAATGGTTTATGTTTTTATGCATTTATGAACAGTAATCTCAGTTGAATATTTTCAAACAGGATTTGTGACACAGCGACTAGTTTGTGATCTTAAGAGGAGCCGATACGAAACAATAAAGACTTTAATGATCTTTTAAATGTTTATTGTGCTTTTGTTTGCTTGTTTTTATGGTTATTATTATGTAAAGTGTTGCCTTTAAGTATGAAATGTGATGTACTAATAATAAATCTGCCCCGAAGTTAAAGATATTTGTATTTTCATCGTCTGGATATGAAGACGCGTGTTTTACGGCTCGTTCACTTCAACACGTCTCGCACTATCTGGAGGAGAAAGCTGTAAGAGTTCACATTGAGCGGTTAGATTTTCTCTCCTTGAATCAGCCGGTGACTGAACATCAGAACATCAGCTGAACTACATCACAGCTCCTACCCTCCGCAGCAGGTCCTTCTTGGAGGCCGAGTTGAGGACTTCGGGTATCTGCAGGTTGGCGTCCACGCTGAGGCGGTGCTTCGGGGTCCGGGGGGTGGTGGGCCGGGTCCCGTACTGTTTGTGTCTCTGGGGACCCGGCTTCACGTGAGAGTCTTCAGGAAGCTTCGGACTGAAGAGGAAACGAGACTTTTAGACAACAGCTGGGACCTTTTCTTTTAGTTCAGATCCAGTATGAAGTAGAAAGGACCACTAACACGTGAGAGCTGAAGATTTGAATATTAAATATGTGATCCAAACTTAACTCAAAGTAGGATCAAGACCATTATTATGCTTTACAAAATCTGAATATCACAGAAAACGGGTTGAATGTTCCCCGTAGTCACAAAAACAATGTGTTGACTTTGACACAAAGAGAATCCTCACATTTCAGAAGCTGCAACCAGCAAATGTTCAGTTATAAACGATTCACAGACGATCAAAAACGTCTAAATAAGTATAAACTATAAGGATATATTTGACGCCAGATTTCCATCGCCTGTGACACATTCAGGTTTTTAGGATCCACCGCCGGTGAAACACTTAATGAGTTGATGACTCACTGTTTGTTCTCCTCCCAGCCGCTCCTCCAGCGGTGAGGAGCCTCCTTGGCCTCCTTGCCTCCTCCGTCGTGGCTCCTCGGTGAGTGAGAGTCTCTGGACTCGGAGTGCCGGTCCTCCGCGGGCCTCTTGGACCTCCTACTGTCCGGCTGGTTCTTCTTGGGCGCGGCGGGCCTGTCCCCTCGGCCCGGCTTGATGTGATCTGGTCCGACCCTCCTGGGTTTGCCGGGTTTGTGAGACGGCGACGGCGACATGGAGCTGCTCCGGACTGACCGCCTGTCCTTCCTCTTCGGGGAGGAGGAGGAGGAGGCGCCGGCAGGCGAGCGGGACCTGGACCGTGAGCGGGTGCGTTTCCTGGCGTGCGTGCGGGCGTTGCCTCCGGCCTTGAACTCGATCTTCTCCGTGGACTCGACGCGGTCGTGTTTGCCCACCGAGCCGTTGACCAGCTTCCCCTTGTTGAACCTCTGGGGGTCGACTCCCCGAGGCGCCTCCTCTCGCTCCTTCTTGTCGGGGCAGCGCTTCTTCTCCTTCAACTCCTCGTCTTTGGTCTCGCCGCTCTTGTCCTGCGGGCGTTTCTTCAGCCGCGGGTCTTTCTTGGTGCCGTCCGCCGACTTCTGGATCTCAGGCTCCACCTTGTTTTTACTCTGGAGGACTTTGGCCATCGGAGACGGAGATTTGGACTTCTGCTTCTCCTCCAACGCTTCTTTTCTCGGGGTTTTGACTTTGTCCGGACGGGTGGGCTTCTCGGGCGTCAGGGCCGGACTTCCTGTCACGGAGTGGCTGTCTTTTTTCACAGCGTGCTGTTCTTTGGGATGGGGGGCAGACAGGGGGCCGGTGCGGTTCAGCCGGGGGTCTCTGGTGGGCGGCTTGGCGTCCGTCTGAGTCGGAGGAGGGATCCACGGTCGGACCGCAGGGGCAGTTTGGCCGGCGGTCTTCGCCGCTGCGTTCTGAGACGAAGCCGAGGTCGCTGTCGGGATCACAAACCCTCCGGCCTGAAGACACAAACAGTCAGAGTTTGAACTAATCCAACATGTGGAGGGACAGACAGGCTGCTGCATGAAGACTAACAGGAAGCAGACTTCATGTTATTATCAGCGTTAGGGTTTTAACTATACTAGCACTGATCGATTCATCGGTTCGGTCTCTTGTCGATACTCTTCCCGGCTCTTTTTGATTATTTAGTGATAAAGTTATGTTTATGAAGACATTGAGCAGCAATGAGTGAAGTGTGTGCAGAGTAAAGCATAAAGACAAAGAGCCAGAGAGAGGAGGTTTGAGACGACATAGAACCGCATCAATACTCTGGGTTTTACTCATTTAGAACCGGTTCCCGTTAAGAACCGGATCTCTTTATGTTCAGCGGGTTAGAAAACGAGCTGAACATAAAGTATAACTACAGACGACTTTATGGAATCCCGAATAAAAGAGCAGATCTGGGATCAGAACCAACGGCCCCGGTTGTTCCTACCAGCTGAGCTTTGGTCTGCTCCAGCTCCAGCTCGATCTTCTTGTGCTGAAGCTCCAGCAGCTGCTTCTGTTTGGCCAGCAGCTGCTGCCGGATCAGCTGCTCCTGGGTCAGGCTGAACTGGCTGGCGGCGGTGACGGCAGAGACCGGTACCGGTTGGGGAGCCGGTACCGGCGCCGCCGCCGGAGGCGGCGGAGTCGGTGTCGGCTGAGTGGGAGCCGGCTGAGGAGACGGAGCATCTTCAGACTGAGACGGTCAAGAGGGACGAAGAGAGAAGACAGATTATGACTTCAGACTTTAACAAGAGATCAACACGGCTGTAAAACATCCAAACGTTGTTTCCTTCAGACAAAGAGAAACAGAGTTACGAGTGAATCGTTGTGAGATGAACGCTTTCTGCTCGTGATCTGACATTTGGTTACAACCTAAATTCCATGAAGCCAAAACCCATTTGGGACTACAGATGAAAAATAGCCTTTTGGCTAACTCTTTATTAATGTGCACTGTCCCGTATCAAATAAACCAATAAGAACAAAACTAATTATAATTTACATTATTGATTCTAGAGCTGAAACGAGCAGATGATTTGATTACTCAACAAAACATTGATTAATTTCTCTTTTCTTAAATTAAAAGGGTCAAAGTTCTGTTTCCAGCCTCTCGGATGTTTTAGCTGCTTCATTCGTCTTAAATAACATTAAACTGGCAAGTCTTGAATGTAACGATAGAGTAACCCAGAGAAAGGTTGTCCAACAAATGCATTTATATAAATCAGCAGCAGAGATGAAGTCAGTGTCGTAGGACAGCTGATTGCTCCGTGTCTTTAAACATCTAAAACCAGCCGACAGGATTTATTTTATTGTGAAAGTCTGGCACGGATTGTCTGGATCGAGCACAGCTGGATTTGAGTTTCACGGATGAAACCGGGAACCACGCGTTTGATCCCGGGGCCGTAGCAGATCAGATTTAACTTGGAGATGATAACAGTACGGAGCCTCACGAGTCTCCAACGTAACCAACCGGCTCTATGAGGATCGACTGGCGGACACATACACACCTGCTTTAAGAACTTGGGGTTGACGTGGATGCTGGCGTTGACGGTGGGCGGCAGCGGCTTGATGGGCCACGCCGGGTCCACGGAGTTGACCCGCACGTCCAGCGCGTACAGCTTCTTCAGAGGAAACACGTCGTCCCACGTCGAGCGCAGCTTGAACAAACTCTTTCTGGTGTTTTCATCCACCTACGAACAGAGGACATGACTTGGTCCACAGATGGCAACAGAATACAGAGAAACATACTGCAGCAGCATCACAACAAGCGTTTACAAGTGTAAGCAGCTCTACGTCCACTACGAGTAAAGAGGTGAAAAATATAGTTTTAGCACTTTAAGGACAAGTTCAAAAGAATGATTAATAATGATCCCTCCCCCTTTTATTTATCGTTTATGGGGTTATGTACACAGGAGCAGAGTGCAGACCACAGAGAATAAAGCAAGCAACACAACAAACAGGAGGGAAGTGGAGCGGCTAAGAGTCATAGTGCTTAAAAGTTTAACAGCAGCAAAGAGAACTGTACCTTTTCAAAGACACATATAAATGAAGTGATTAGGTTTTTAGCAAACACTGCAAGGTACTCTCCTCCAACATTCTTCACTATGGAATCCACTAAGTACAAAACTGGAAGCTTCTCTGCAGATGGGGCCTGGAGCAATAGAGAACTCGACAAGTTTAGAACACAACAGGGGTTAAAAAACAACATTTCAGAACAACGCTTCAGAATTACAGATGTGTCCCCCTCACCCCCCCCGCTGTGTGAAAAACATGTAAAAAATGTGTGCACGAGACAAAATGTAAAGAAAGTCTGCAAAGTGAGAAAAAAAAGTGTTTGAAAACTAAATTTAAAAAAAAAATTTAAAAAAAAAAAAAAAAAAAAAAAAAAAAAAAAAAATCAGCCTGCAGTCGGGATTTATCTTCAGTCTGGAATCAAAATAAAAATCGAGGGAAAATACTCCAATAAAGTCCTCTGTGATCTGAGATCGATCCCGAAGAAAAACCATCATCTTCAACAGCAATCAGTCACTTTAGTTTCTGCAAAGACATCTCAGGAGGTTAGTGATCCTTCCCCAAAGTCAGGGGGGAAAAATAAACATGTCCATGGTGCATTGTGGGTTAAAAAAAAAAAAAAAAAAAAAAAAAGTCACCGAGTCCAGTTCTCGGGAGCCGTTTACCTCCAAAGAGGGTTTATTCCTTAAACCACTCTTTGTACTTTACCCAGACGACACGTCGGAGAGTTTTAGTTTAACTTTTGATTCACTCACTCAAAGCTTTAACCCTCACAAGTGTTTTTCTCCTTTTCGGTTGTTAAAAAAACCTTTTAGAGGATCTGTTGGCGTTTAGTTAAAACAAGCTGCATTTTAAACTCTGCACCCTGAAGCAGAAGATCCTAAACACTGCAGCGTCGACAGCTAAACACCGTTTGTCGTGTCAGTAAATGGAAACCAGAGTCGTACCAATAAATTACACTGGGAAATAAAAAATGACAAAAAGCACATTTCACATTTTTTATTATAACAATTTTAACCATTCAATCACATTTCAGTAATTCAAGATTTCACTAGTGAATTAATGCAGAGAAACTGACTGAGATGAATTTATTACAGACGCTGAGGCCACGTCTGTCTAATAGCTACCCGGCAATATTTATTAACAATAAATTAGAGTGAAAAACATCAATGTGGTCCGGCCTCGATCAGAATATTATTAATGTGACGGATGCTCAAAATACTGCTAGAAGCTGAGGATAAATAAACGCTGCAAAAGTCAAAATCCACCGTAAACTAAACCAGCTAAATATGTTTTCATAGACGGCTTGAACACATTCACTTTTTGTCTAATAAGTCAAACTAGACTTTTTATTATCAACCAGAGTCCAGCAGTTATCGCTCGATGACTCTGGAGTTAAAGCTGCTCATTGTGATCAATCTACGACATTTATTGTTCAAATTAGCTTCAATAAAGTTTATTTTTGTTCTTAAAAAGGGGGCTGATCACACACGGATGTGACCGATTTTCTAGTATTTTTAGACGCACGTTTTGGTCGTCACCATCTTGGTTCTGTGACACAACCGGGTGGACAGAAACCGTGGTAGAGACCTGTCAATCACCGTGTAGCCCCGCCCTAAAGCATCCCCTGTTTTATGGTCTGTGTGACTCTAAATGGACCATAATGTACTAAATGAACATCATGCTGTATTGAAGAGGAATTGAAACTAGAGATTGAGACCATAAACTTGCCCCCTGATGGACGCTAGAGAGAATGCAGCTTTAACACATGAATGCCGCCTGCTCACTGCTTGTGAAAGTTACACTTGGACCAGGCAGCCAGCAACTTTTAGGAACTAATGATTTAAATAAGGGCTAATCATGCGTTTGCTCTGGGAAGTGGATTTACCTAAAAATAACCATCTGCTGAGATACAGAAGTCTCTTTCCCCAAAGTATGAGATGAAGAGGTGAATCTGAAACGGATTAGTTATATACTTAGATCTGTACATAGTGGCTCAGACTGTATATGTTTCTGTGTTACATGTGTTCACATAATTTGTCAATAAAAGCCGATTTTGTGCTTTTTTTTTGGCTCCAGAACAACCCATTTTTAAAGTCCGCCATGTTATTTCTTCTTCTATGGCTTAATAAAGTGGTATCTAAGTAACAGTCGAATTAATAACTGGCACCACTTTGCCAACGAGTATTTAACGAGCTAGTTTACCAAATAAAACACGTCTTTTAATCACGTCGGTTTGAACTGACCTCCAAGTAATTAGTCGATCAAGAGGCTTAAAATAATCTATTTTACGGTGGATTTTAACGAGTTTCGATGAAGAGAAATGTTAAAGAATATTAAGTGTATGTTGTGTTTAAACTTTAATAAAACACACAAATATAGTTATAAATAAAACGTAATGTATAGCTACGATGACATGTTTTTACGCTAAGCTAACAGCTAGCTCAACAACAACTTGAGGCCTTGTTGCTACACATACAATCCAGACGAAAAAACACCTGAAATTGAAAGTATTCTATATATTTTTTTGTTATAAAAACCTTGCTTATTTGCGCTTCAATAATAGCGACGATATCCTTGGCGAAGTTGAGGTTTTCCTCGGCCAGGATGGTCAGCATGTTGATGTGCGGCTTGCTGTTGAACGTCAGGTCCTCCAGCGACGACTGGTACTCTCGGCACGCGTCTTCTCGAGCTGCTTTGTCGGCCATCTTTGTTTGTGACCCGGGAAAACCTACAGCGGCTCTATCGATACTAACGTCACCATTGATCAGCAGCAGGCAGTCCATGAACTCATGGAGATAACTTTGTTCTGACTCGGTGATAGATGTAAAAAATAAAATAAAAAAGCGCCGGTTTTGTGGGTTTTTATGTCGAGCCGTCGCGTCTTTGTCGTTAGTAGTTCAGCCTCCGACGACAAGAAGATGGCGACTGTTAGCTGAAGGCCGCATACGTCAACACGTTCACACTATCACGTGACGTGAGTTCACGTCCTTCATTGGCTTATTTTTAGGGGCCGTGCGGAGACCGGGTTCTCGGTTCTCATTGGCTCGGTGAAATAACAGCCAAGACGAGTGAGCCAATCAGATCGAAGCCCATGTGAGTTTATGATTACGTAAGCTTTTATAGGGCATAACACCATGAGGCTGAAGCATGGCGGATCACTCTGCTCTCTGGTAGTTTTAGGGGATTAATACAGCAATATTATGTTTTTATGACAGAAAAAATAATTACTATATTAAAACAATTTAAACATATGCTATAAAAGGTATATCATATATATTTCTGTGATGTAGTGTAAGTATAAAGTAACAGAAAATTAAAAAAATGGAGCAGTTCACAAGTACTTTAAATGTGTATTAAATTAAATCAGTTTGTGGCCACACTAAAATATAAAAAGGACCTCAGAGTTATTTAGAAGACAAAGCTTTGCTAAATAAGTAATTGTTGGCTCTGCCATTCACTATGAAGAGTTTAATAAAACCTCATTACGTTGTGTAATTTGTAGAACTTCATTTTACAAATGCATATAAAGATGAAGTATCAAATCCAGACCTGTCACATCCTGAAAATGTCTCACAAATAAATTAAACTGTATATGTCTGGCACATTTTTAAATATATTTTTAATTTATATTTTAATTTAGGCCTATATTTTAGTTTGTTTTTTTTGTCTTGTTTTGAATATAAAACTGATTTTTTTTAAATAAAACAAATATTTTTAAAACAGTGTAAAGCTCAGAGGCTTAAGGAATCTATTGTAAGGGTTGTGTTTGATTTAAAGGATGATTAGAGTAACTAGAGATTAACATCTGTTCTCAGAGTATTTATTTTTATTGCACGAATAAAGTACAACGTACCTGATATAAAAAGGCAGTTTGTTTTTAACCTTTGCCTTTTAAAAAAAAAGCATCACATTACTTACATTTATATTTTTGTGCAGCTATTACTTTCTTAATAATTTATCATATTTCAAGTCCACCGAGAGAAGAATGAGAATAAAGATATTTGAATTGATTAACTGATGGGAATCAATTTATTTTCCATATGACGACTCCTGGAGAATCATCACAGGCAAGTAAAATAAAACATTATTCAACATCTTAATAACGATCGGAACTCATGACCAGCTGTGATGTCAACAATAAAAAAATAACACAAATGACACGGCAGGAAGTACAGCACGGTGTTTACGTCCACACAGACAGGAAGTCGTCAGTCATCGTTTTCCTTTGTTGGGTTTCTTTCTCTCAGAGAGTCCGTTTCATCAGTTCTTTCTGCTTTCAGAGGAAACAACGAGAAGTTTCAATCACTCGTCCTATGAATCAATAAAACGTAAACACACGTTTTCTGAATGAAGTCTCGTACTGGTTTTGATGGTCGAAACGTTGGAGCTGAGCGGAGGAACGCTCACGGATTACTGGGTCGGGGTTTGACTCTCAGAGGACACAAACATCTCCGCGGTAACGTAGGAATGATTTGATTGGGTTTCCCATGATGCTCTGCTACATCCCGACAAGAACACAACATTTCAACTCATGTTAAAAATCAACACAGATGTTTAATATATCAACAGGAGGGTGCTGGATTATGAGACAACGGGGCCCTGGAAGGGTTCCGTCTCTCTGAAGTCGCTTTCCGTCTCTCTGAGGTCGCTTTCCGTCTCTCTGA